TACTTCGAACTTCAGCTATGTTATTCACGTAGCTGAAGTTGCGTACCTTAGTTCGATTTGGGGGGTTAGTGTAGACCAAGCCTTAGAAGTTCATTGCAGTCACAAGTGCAAATGTTTATGTATAATTGTGGAATTGTATGCCATATTGCTAGGAGGGAAATGTGAGTACTGTAAACCCAAGAAGTGTTATGAGTGTCAAAGGACTCTTTAAAATGGGGTGGGAAAACTTTTTGGCCCAAGGGCCACATCTGGGTATGGAAATTGTATGGCGGGCCATGAATGCTCACGAAATTGGGGCTGGGGGTGCGGACTCTGGGGTGGGACCAGAAATGAGGAGTTCAGGGTGCGGGAGGGGGCTCTGGGCTGGGGCAGGAGGTTGGAGTGTGGGAGGGGGACTGAGGGCTCTGGCTGGTGGTGAGGGCTCTGGAGTGGGGCTGGAGATGAGGTGTTTGGGGTGTAGGAGGGTGCTCCAGGCTGGGACCAAGGGGTTTGAAGTCTGGGAGGGGGCTCCAGGCTGGGGCAGTAGATTGGGGCACTGGGATGTGTGTGGTGTAAGGGCTCTGGCTGGGGGTACAGGTTCTGGGGTGCAGGAGGGTGCTCCAGGCTGAGATCAAGGGGCTTGAGGTGCAGGAGGGGGCCAGGGGTGCAGGCTCCAGGAGGCACTTACCTCAAGCAGTTCCTGGAAGCAGTGGCATGTCCCCCCTCCAGCTCCTACAAGGAGGCGCAGTCAGGCGGCTCTGCGCGCTGCCCTGTCCACAAATGCTGCCCCTGCAGTTCCCATTGGCTGCAGTTCCCAGCCAATGGAAGCTGCGGGGGTGGTGCTTGGGGCAGGGGCAGCAGCAGTGTGCAGAGCCCCCTGACTGCCCCTACACCTAGGAGCTGGAGGGGGGAAATGTCCCTTCTTCCGGGAGCTGCGTGTGGAGTGGTCCCCAACCCCCAGCTGGAGCGCAGGAGCGGGGAAGACCCAGACCCCACTCCCCAGCAGAAGCTCAAGGGCCAGATTAAGTCAGCTGGAGGGCCAGATGTGGCCTGTGAGCCATAGTTTGCTAGGGTTACCATATTTTAAGCCTCCAAAAGGAGGACACTCCACAGGGCCCCGGCCCTGCCCCCGCCCCCAACTCCGCCCCTTCCCCAAATTCCCCGCCCCATCTCCG